CTATTGTGACAACAATAGTGCCCAGCTTGGAGCCATAAATTCAATTAGGCACCTGAATGTTTAAGGAAGTCGTAGAACAGTCCCCTAATAATTCTTATTGATTCATACCCCGAAAAATGGAAAAAGTGAAAGGAAAAAAATAATGTCACAGAGCATACCAAGTAAAAATAAAAATAAAAATAGGTTTGGGTCACAAGTATTTGTTGAGATGATAAATCATTGACTTCCGATCAATTGTGATTTTCTTAAATCTTATATTTTCCATCAACCGTGAGAAGGTCAAGTTATTTAGATTTTATTTCTTTTAATAAAGTTATACATTTTTGTATTTTTACTCTAATTATATTTAATAATAATTACAAGATTTAATAGTTTCCTAAATTATTATAAATAAAAGATATTCGTTACTATTGATAATAGAATCAGTCTTAGAGTTATACTATATGTTTGTTTATAAAGTTGGAAATTGTTTAGAATTGTTTTTTTTTTAATTTAATATTGTAGGAGGACTAATACAATATAATCGGGTAATTACCGGAGTCGTGTACCTGTTTCGAGTCCCACTATCTTAATTTGTCAATAAATAAATAAATATGCATATTGTTCATTACATAATTACGATAATAATCATGCTACCAGAACCTAAAAAGCATTAACAATACTAAATTAAGCCATCATGGCTCTGATACCAAATAATAGAATGATCAATGATCGATGTATGATTAATAGTAATTACAATAATAAGAACTATGAATAATGTAAACAGACTTAAACAGACTTACAGAAAACCTTCTTTATTGAACTTCCAAGCTAGTACAGAGAAATATTACAAAAGAGAGAAAAGGAAATTGAAAGATACATTGGAGGGAACCTTGCCCTCTATTTATACATAAAATGGACTTGAAATTAATATTTTGAAGTCCGCATAGTGCATGGGATCGTGTGCTGGAATAATGCAGTCGGTCGGCCCACCACTAAGTGTTGTCTCCTTATCTGATGGAAAGTAGACATCTGATGAAGGACATACTGCAGAACCAAAGACTTTTGGGAAAAGTTCTTTGTCTTCTTCTGTCGGCAGGATAAGAGGAATCTTTACTTTTTGGGTGGATTCATCTTGTCCATCAAGTGACTGGTGAGAGAGTCCCAATAGTCTGCTACTGTAGGCTCATCTTCAGAAATAAGATCTTCATTGGGATCTTGTGCATAACCGGCTAGACAGGAAAACTGATTACCGTCTTGACTGGTCTGGCTAGAGACTGACACCATGGATGCATCATCTCGTACTGTAGGAGTGGAGGAATCAAAGGATTTAACAAATTTGGTCCTCATAAAATCCATGCATTTAACCATTAAATCAGCTTCGGTAATTAATGGTTGTTGTTTTCTGATCATATCTTTAACAAGTTCAAATGGGTTAAAGATTTCGGGTTCTGGAATAGTTAACTTTGGAATCTTATCCATGTATTCCATTGTTTTCTTTCTGATCTGATGGAGGAGGGCTTGGATAGGATCTTGAGTCATGCCTGACCACCATCTGTAATAAAAGATCCTCTGGAGGACCGGTAACTTGTCAGTGGTATAACCACATTAGAAATCCCATTTCCAAATCCAAGGGATTCCAAATTCAGTAAAGAACAATAGGGTGGATTTCCCTACAGGAATATTATCCTGTCCCCGTAATTGAGGATGAAATTGTTGCCATGGCAAGTATAATTGTCTGATTGATTCGGGCAACATATCCAGATCAGGGCCAAATATAGCCCACCAGGGTATAACCCAGTTTGGGAAATCAGCCTTAACTGATTGAGGGCATATCTTGAGGAACCAAGAATGCTTATGCTTCGGATTTTGATAAAAGAACGAATATGTCCAAGCTGAGATATAATCCCAATAATTGTAACTGTGACCATAGGATATTTTCCTTGGCAAATTTGGATTTAATCCCCAGTCACTAGGCCGTATAAGCCTCTTAAAGATAGCTTTACTATAAGTAATCTTTGGAATTCGGAAATTGCTTCGTGTGGTTGATCTCCACAGAGGAAGTTTCAGTAAGAATGGCTTCATAGATATATCTATGGCGACCATCCGGTGCAGCATATTGTTGAGTTTGGAAATATCTGGATTTTACTTCCCAAGGATCTGGCATCCATTGCTCATCTTGAGAATCCAGTACCAATACTGTTTGAATATACCTTTGATTAGGTATCCATGGAGTTTCTTGTTCAAGAACCTCTTTTATGGTTGGTTTCTATTGTTTTTGCTGGGTACTGCTGCTTCCTTTAGAAGGTGTGTTGAGCAGATCAGCAACATGCTCCAAATATGGAAATTGATCATCAGTGAGTGGTATAACCACTTTGGCCTTAGCCTTGTTTTTGCCACGAGCCTTTGGAGTATTACCCCGGCCCTGCCCATGGGGGGGCGGATTCATGAACCCTGCAAAAATTCACGAGTTAGAAAATCAGGTAAAGAATTAGAACTGCCTTGCCAACCAGCAAATATCTGTTTGGAGACTAAATTCTTTACATCTTTTTCCAGTACTTGTTTAGCAGCACTACAATCAATGCGTAACAAGAATTTCTGATTGATTAAATCATCTTGGAATTTATAAATGCATTAAATAAATAAATAAATAAAAACTTTTCCTATTTAAATTTGGATACAATGTCCTTCAATTAAGCGAAAAAAATAAATAAATAAATAAATAAATAAATAAATAAATTTCCTAGTTAAATTTGGGTTAGTAGATTTGAGTCTTCAGTTCTCCCTATAATTATAATAATAAATAAATAAAGTGAGTGTTTTGCAGTGCAAGAGACTGATTTCATTCTTCATAGAGTTTCCAGATAAAGAATCGCAAAGCCTATTGACCTTTTGCGGGGTATGTGTCGCAACTCTTTTTCTTTTTGTTTTTTTCCTTAATATATATATATATATATATATATATATAACATTCATATATATGGTGCGATGATATGTAAACACATATTTGCTATATTCGGGAGTAGGTGGTTTGGATTTAAAATTTAAAAAAAAAAAAAAAAAAATTTAATTAATTAAAACTTTAAACTAAATTTTTTTCAATCCTAAATTCAAAATATCAAATTCAATCATGATAAAGAAGCTTTTGGGAATTTCTTTTTTTGAGCAGGCATGGGTGACGATAAAGAAGCTAAGAAGTCGAATTCCTCCAGCATTGGGGAAATATGTTGTGTCTCGTTTGGTTGCTGTGTTTTTTTCACTCTCACTATGTCTTTGCTGCCAGTCGTGGAAGACATCCAACGCTTGAATCACGAAACTAAAGCTCATATCATATGCTTCGCAGTTGTTAGAATGCTGTGCTTCATTTTCGCAGCCTTAACAACCTGTGTTTTACCCATCTTTCGAAAAAAAAACTTGTGCATCAATTGTTTGCGTGTTTCAACTCCTTGTAAACGTGAAGACCAGTTGGGAGCACTCGAAGACCAGTTGGGAGCTCTAATCACGGATGTGGATGGAGATTGATAGCAATGCAAGGAAACAAGAGTTGAACGAGTTTTATCAAGATCACGATAAGGTTAAATTCGTGGCGATCATGGTTTCGACGATTACTGATGTGATGTTAATTGCAGTGGTAGTTGCTGTGAGAGGTATCAAACATTCAAGCAGTACACCGTCAACTTTTGCGGTCATCTGTGCAGTTTCTAAAGTTGTCATCTTCGTTTCCTGGGCACTCTTAACTGTGGTACATTGTTGCAAAATGCTTCTATTGAGAGACTAGAAGCAAGGTCCAGATCCTCCAGAATGTATATAAGTGTTTTGAGCATGATTTATATATACATATACATATACATAGAAGGTTAAAATTATAAAACTCTAGCTACTTTCAAATTTTGATCATAAAATCTCAGCCTGTTTCAGAAAACTCCTATACTTTTAAAAAGTTATCACATTACCCCAATATTCGCATCCGATCCGTTAACCAGGCTATGAAATGTTAAACTAGTTTTACGATCAAAATTTAAAATTAGTGGGGCTTTTATGATTTTAATCCATATATATATATATATATATAGGCACTGCATTGTTGCAAAATGCTTCTATTGAAAGACCATAAGCTAGGTCCAGATCCTCCAGAATGTATCTGAGCTCATTTCTATCATTAATTGTGAATCATTCATTATAAAAGTGTTTTGAGGATGATTTATATATGTAAGCATTATATAAGAGAGTCATTATTGATGATAAGGTGTGGAATGAATGACCCTTAATATCTATAATCTAGTTTGGCATACGTGGTTGTTCAATATAATATAGTGGCCCTTAATATCTATGATTTAGTTTGGCATACATGGTGGTTCAATATAATATGGTGGGGGTATTTTTTTCTAAGTATTTTTTATTTGGGCTTTGCCCCGATTACGTCTTTGCACGCTCCTTCCACAAGTCAGGCAAAGCTCGGGTTTTTACTTGTAGGCATAGCCCCATCGAATCTGATACTTCATGATACATCAAGTGTAACAAAACGCAAGTGGACTTACCACTCAAGTCAACCCTTAGGGTTTAAGTATCTATTCTTTTCTCTAGCACAATTGGACCATCCTGGACTTGAACAAAAGACTTGGCATGGTAAAACTCATCACACAAATTGGGAAAAAATTATTAATTCCTTTTTGACAAAAATTCATCCAATCTCGAAAAAAAAAATTAGTCTACTGAGTATTAGATGATCAATAGATTCCAAACATGTCAGACTAGTTAAATAGAACTAACAAAGTATTATTAAATCAACCAAGCCAAAATGCAAATGCCTTGCAACTCAGCTGGATAAGAGTCTCCCGTGGAACTTAAAGTGCCTAGCTCGAACTTCTGCACCTACTAACATCTAACACTTCTTGCTTTGCCCCAAAAAAAAAACCAGACTTCCAACACCATCACTAGTGCAGTCTATAAACATAGACTGCGGCAACTACAGACCATCTTGCAAATGGCTTCCACTTTCAATTAAATCCTAGATAATCACATTTTTATGAAAAATTTACATTATAAAGAGAATGAAATTCGGTGACGTTCAAATATAAAAGCACAATGGTTTAAAGTGTTTAATTCAATCCACTTATAATACAAACGTTTTCGTGAAACTGAACTAAAACACCGAAATTGCAAAAGCACAAACTGACCGTATTCCCACCATGAATACTGGGACCTTGCCAGAGATGGACACAGACAGTACCGGCATCTTCATATGTAGACTTAAGACGCCTTCTTCTGTTTGTACATTTTGGCAAAGAAGACGTACACCACCATGTTCAAGAAGCTGAGTCCAGCTAAAAGCCAGAAGTAATAATCAAGATGACCCTCATTCAAGTTATCGGTTATCCACCCAGTCTTTCCCCCTGCTGTTGTTATAGCTGTTACTAGAGTCAGAATAAATGAACTCAAATAATTCCCCAAGGAAGTTGTCAGAAGTGACAACGCGCTACACAAGCTACGCATGGCATCTGGTGATTGGTCATAGAAGAACTCAAGCTGTCCAATGAACGTAAAAACTTCTGCTGCCCCCAACAAGAAATATTGGGGTACTTGCCAGAAGATATTAAGTGGCACAGCAACATCTTCATCAACCAAACCAAGGTCATTTGCAATCTGCAGTCGCCAGATCTCCACCAAAGCAGCAGCTGACATGCATAAGATCGAAAGAAAGAGGCCAATTCCCATTCGCTGCAACTCTGAGAAGCCCCTCTCTTTACCAGTAAACTTCCTTGCAAATGGGACAAGGATCCTATCATAGACCGGGACCCAGAAAATAACACTGATGACATCAAAGGTTGAAAGAGAAGCTGCAGGAATGGTGAAGGAACCAATAGTTGTATCCATCATCATCCCTTGCTCCACAAACATTGTAGACATTTGGGCATAAACAGCAGAAAAAATTATTCCAGTAGCCCAGATCGGGAACATGCGGATCAAGATTTTCAGTTCCTCCACTTGCGTTACAGTGCAAAGCCTCCAAGGATTGGAGAAGTCCCCAGTTTTGGTCTCAGTAACTGAGACTATAGCAGCTTTATCAAGGCACCTGCAGCAAAAATAAAATTAAATGGACAAACAATAATAATCTGATTTATATTATTTTACTAAAAGAGACAAGGTCTTTGCAGGTCCTTTTTTTTTTTTTTTTTTTGGTGCGGGGAGGGGACAAGCAGATCAACTATTTGGCAATGAAATATCATCGTTGCATCTGTGACAAAATTCTATGATGATATATATAATTTGTCAAAATTTGCTATGTAGATAAGCAAGAACCTTACATGTACTACTAGTTTTACATGCAAATCAGATCATTCACATCATTAAAAGCATATAATAACATGTAAAATAAAGTAAGACAATCACACGTTGAACACGCAATTTTTAAGCAGAAACCTCTTGGGAAAAATCATGGGGACCTAATCCAAGCAGATCAAATCCACTACAAGAAAGAAGTATAACAATGAGGTTGACCAGTTTTTCAAACCCTAGAAAACACCTACTTACCTCTTGACAGACTCATGCCACAGACTCTGCACTCAAGTCTCCAGGCTGCTACTCCCTCACGAGATCTGCTTCTCCACAAGCAATTGATCTCCATGTCTAGCCGTCCAAGCTTCCATGAATTCCCCGTTAGCAGAACAAAATCAATGACCATCACCTCCTGAATATATTCTCACCATCTAATGCAATGATGAATTGTGGTTGACATACACACCATCTAATGCAATGATGAACTATGAAACAAAGAAAATATAGCAAAGAATTGATAGACTGCACTCATATGCTGTGTTGTCGTCATTGTCTTCATCCTTGTCTTTATCCCATATGGATGGGGTCGGCCACATGAATATTCTTTTTCCATTCTTTCCTATTGTTGAAAGATATAAAAAGTTGAAGAGAGAAATTAAACATGAAGAACACAAGAATATAACGTGATTCAACCACTAGGGCTTACATCCACGACACACAAAGGGCTACATCTCTTTTATTCCATTCTCTCTTAATTTTGTTAACAATAACAACCTCTATTTATAGGTGAATTGGGGAAGACTTGTAATAAGGGAATTACACAGAAAGCCAAATATAAATATGGCAAAAACTTATTGCCCAAGTATAGCAATATTAAAATTCTATCAAGGAGTGATTTAAGCCCTTAAATCACTCCTATAATTATTCTCCAACACCCCTTCCCAAGTTGGTACATTGAGATTTAACTCAAGTGTCCAACTTGAAATTAAATATGAAGTTGTCGAGAGTCTGAGATGCGTAAATCTGAGATGAGTTGATCCGAGATGAGACGAGTTGATCAAAAGAACCACGACGAGTTGATCCGAAGATCCAAGACGAGTATAGAGTAGGGTTTGATAAACCTGCTCTGATACCATGTTGAAATATATAAAAAGTTGAAGAGAGAAATAAAACATGAAGAATACAAGAATATAACGTGGTTCAACCACTAGGGCTTACATCTATGACACACAAAACCCAAAGGGCTACATCTCTTTTATTCCATTCTCTCTTAATTTTGTTTACAATAACCACCTCTATTTATAGGTGAATTGGGGAAGACTTGTAATAAGGGAATTACACAAAAAGTCAAATATAAATATGGCAACAACTTGTTGCCCGAGTATAGCAACATTAACATTCTATCAAGGAGTGATTTAAGCCCTTAAATCACTCCTATAATTATTCTCCCACACCTATTATACACCATGTCGTCTCTTAAATTTAAGTTTTTAAAATCATTTTTAATTACTTCATCCCACGTAAACATTGGTTGGCCTCTTTGTCGCTTATCTTCTAAACAAACAACCATTCTGTAGAACTTAGAAGTTTTTTTTTTTTAAACCTTGACAAGAAACACACACAAACACTTGCCCCTTTTGGGGACTTGAACCTCGGCCTTCTACTTTGAAAGGCGAGGAAGTACTACTAGGCTACAACCTTTTTGTAAAACTTAGAATGTTTTCCAAACACATATGATCTTTATATAGTACTTAGAAGCCTATAGAGATTAGGTTTATAAAAAATAATATAAAAAAAGAAAGATTCAGTTTGATTTGGAAACTGAGTTTTATTTTATAGCTCTCTGTCGATCGATCAACACATGGCTAGTGGCCTTCGATGGATTTGTCAATCATTGAAATATCCTGTCCTTCTAACACTAGGATTTTGATTAAGGAAAATTCAAAAAACATGCTTATGCACTTCAAAAAGGTTGAAAAGTGATACCTGGTTTGTGAGAGGTATCAAACTAAAATTAGAACTCCAAGTTTGACATATAATGTAGTTCATGGATTTAAGTGTCAAAATTGTCCTCCTCTTTTTTTTCAATAAATAAAAGTATATTAGAGAGCATTCAAAAGGAGAACGCATCCCGAAAGCTATACAAGGGCCGAAGTCAAAGAGAGGCTCCTAGGGACCCAAAGAACCCAAAAAAACGACAATTTCATCTAAACATATACAATTTCTCCCCATCACTAAGATAAAAAGAGATCAAACAACAGAAAATTCCAGTACCCCAATGGAGGATTCCTTCCCATCAAAAGATGTTATGTTCCGCTCCTTCCAAATGCACCCCCAAACACAAAGGGGTGTCGCCCTCCAAAAATCATGGGCTTGGCCCCCCACATTATAGCCTCTCCAGACGTCAATCAAATCCCTTAAAGACCGAGGCATAACCCAAAGGACGCCGAACAAACCAAAAATAAGCCTCCAGCAGTCATGAGCCACAGGGCAATGCAAAAGAATGTGATCCACAGACTCTCCATCATTTTTACACAAACAACACCGATCTGTCTTCTCTTTCTCAGATTATCCAAGGTCAGAATCTTGCCCCAAATTGCAATCCAAACAAAAAAAGCCACTCTGAGCGGAGCCTTCGAGGGCCAAACCGTCTTCCACGGAAAATTGGAACCATAAAACCCGGTAAGGCAGCGGAACAAGGAATGAACCTCAAACTTCCCCTAAGGAGAAGGCAGCATGCACCCAAACCAACGAATCAGAACCTCTCCCATCCACCTCATGTCTACCGTCAAAATTGTCCATTTGTAATATGACTATCCCAAGATCCAACAAAAACCTCGATTGCCCTCAAAGACAGTTGTGGGAGAAGGGAGACGAGAACAATTCATGGTGAACGAGGTACATGCAATTCTACAAACTCATAAGATAAATTTTCACGTAGAGGCTATTTTAGGGATTTAAGGGATAACGATTAATTTGTTATACTTGCCTCAAAATCAGATGAGTATCTCGCTTGCCCTTACAAAAATTTGGTAGAAGATCAGAGCCATAAAAAGACTCCAGATTTAAGAGTTGTACAGGAAATTAGAAACTTAAGCTCTAAATTCCATGTGGAGTTTATGATTCAAGGGAAAAAACTGACCACATGATCTAAATTCCTAAGAAAACCTAGTGATGTCCATCTTCTATGTTAAAGATTGCACAAGGGACTAAACGGATCTTAATCATTTCATCTATTCTACTAAAAAGGGCCATCACCAAGTGTGATTTCCACTAATCGAGGTGATGGGAGCAGCAAGATGGGTATAAACCTAACCTTTCACATTATTTGCACAAATTGGTTAACTTCAAGCTCAATCATGTATTCTTAAGCGAGTTAACCCGACTTTCTACCTTTGCACATCGAAGGGACCCTTGTTTCATCTTTTTTACACACATCCTTTCGTCCTTCATCACCAGGATGCCCCTTGTTGAGGTGACCAGTTCATTCAAAAAATTCAATCAACATATCTACATCTCCATGCAACTCTTACCACTTCCTTATAAACCTGTTCCATTTTCATCTTTCAGTAGCATACACATCCGATTAACAGGATACCCCAAGGAAAGAGCTCAACTTTTTGATTTGCACATTACCTAAGCTAAGGCTTGCTATCTAAAATGGTATGGAGGTCTTCCTGTCTCTAATGACGCTCACAAGTGTCAGGGTTTCAACTGTATAAGGCCCTCCCCTACTGGTCTTATCTCCAGCCAATTTATCATTGGACCCATCTCTTTAGCAGCCTATCTTAGTTGAAGCTTCATTGGACCCTATCTCCAGCTGGCCAAAACTACAGAACTTCCCTCATTCACTTCAGCTTCACTCTCTTTGTACATTTACAGAATTACAGGACACGACCCACTCAGACCCATTCTAAGCCCTGTTTGAACCTTCCATCCGAGCCCAGTTAGAGCCTTTTCCAAACTTCATAATCAATAGCCCAGCTCTCCCATTCATTTTGTGGGGCCCATAACTCACCTAACACTATACTACTAAAACTCGCATGTGACCTAACCCCAAAATTCTTTAAATTTCAAATCCGGCTAAAATATCGGTTGTTCCTGCCTCTCCTCCTTGATCTACGTGGATCCTCCCAGCTCTTCACACACTTGTTAGGTGTATCAACGTTACATATGAAATGTCCTCCTTTGAGAATTTTGTAACAGTTCCTGCTTGTGGCTGTTGGTTTGCCGCTACATTGCTATTTCTAATATCTCAACTTATGTTACATGGACTCTTCAAAAGGGGTGAGATGCCTATATTGAACACTATGTTACATAATGACATTATTTTAATCTAGAAAGTATATATATATATATATATATATAGTATGAATATTTAACAATACCGTCCTTTTGTTTGGAGAATTGATATGTGATACGTACCTGCACCTAGGGCTGCAAATGAACCGAGCTGTTCATGCTTCATTTAAAATTTACCCATCATCTCATACATGTCTTCTTATCAGCCGTTAGATTTGCCTGATCAAGTTCTATTTATGATGAAAGCTGATCATATGCAGAGCCACAAACAAATCTCGCAACATTCACCTTAATCCTTTCAACGTAACATTGCTTTTTCTTTCTTGCCCGCCAGCGACCGTCTCCAATAGACCTCTGAAATCTGATGAAACCTTAATTATAGGCAGCCGCACGGATCTTGCAACATCACTACTCTAATCCCTTTCAAATTTCAAAACAGCATCCCTTCTTCTCTAGCTCGTCGACGATGGTCTCTAAATTCTAATAGATCTTAGC